AATTTTTTGGAATTTGTTAATAATTAATTTTCAAAATTAAATTTTAAATTTTTTTAATATAAATTCTTTTTATACATTTTTCATTACCCTCATCCCACTGTGCATCGTCACATTACCACGGCAACGCTACTGATATTAATGATGCCAGTCGGCGATATATTGAAGTGCAGCATCGTCGTTCATTCATACGCAGCAACAGCAATGAATTTCGTTATAACGTACGTATGCAACAACAGCAACAAAAGTGTGGTACTCGAGCGTGTAAATTCAAGTGGCTTTAATTGTCAATGAGTTTTAATGAGCAATTTGAGTAGCTGCTCAAAGCGGAGCACAGACGCACAAACATGCGCAAATTTACACCTACAACGGAGCACATTCGTACAGACATACATACATATACATACATACGAGTATACTTTTCCTTTATATAATAATGCATGTGCCTGGGCGCTGGAGTTTCATGGGTGAAGACCGTTAGCAGCGCCAAACAGCAGCCAGCAGCAACTGGCTGAAAGGCATCTCGCCAATCTAACGGCCTGACGTTGACATTCGGCAACTGTTGCTATTAATGTTGCTGTGGCGATTGCTGTTCTTGTTGCAGGTGGAGTGGTGGCCACTGCTGTTCTGGGTACTTGCAAGTGCCGTTTGGGGAGAGGAATTTCTTGGGGGGGAGGGGGGGCTGGCACACACACTGTTACGGTTATGGCAGCGACTGCGGTAATACAATACAATATTGTGTCACATGCACGCATTGTTGCTGCCGTTATTATTTTGTTATTGCTGTTGTTACATTTGTTGTTGTTGTTGTTGCAGTTGACATTGTTGCCTTCGCTGCCGCTGTTGGCAGCGCCAGTGTCAAATTACATTGATGAAGTTAATAATATTTGAAGGAGTCTGCGACACATGCAACACAAACACATATATACATATTTTTGTCGTGACATAATACATATACATAAGTATACTCATCACACACACACACACAATTCTACGTTTATGAAGAGCTTTGTATAAGCAGCATAACGGCATTAGAATCACGGCGCACACACGCATATATTCACACCAACAACGATATATTGCGCAATATTATTTGCATATGCATAGATTTTGACGTTTATGCGTTTGTGTGGGTATGTGTGTGCGTGTGTGTGGCTTCTATTTGATATCCGAAATTGACTGCAAACATATTTGTGGTCAAATGAAATTGCAGGCATATTTGAAAATTAACTCGTATTGTGTTTAATTGTATTTTATTTCAGTTTTTTATTGCACGGTATTTATTACGTAACCACTACAAACACACACACACACACACACACCCCACGCACGCATCATGCGTTTATTGTTACATTAACGTTTTCGCGCTTATTTAGTTACATTTTTCATTTGATTCCACATGTAATGGCATGCTTTGTTGTTGTATTAATGTTTGTTGTCGTTGTTGCTGTTGCTGGTATTTTATTGTTTTTGCGTGCAGTTTTGCGTTTGCGGTTGCGCACCTAAACAACCAAAATGGAGTTCAATTGCAATTGAGTTAAGTGCCATTTTAGTTAGTCTCACTTCTGTAAGTGTTTGTATATGGGTGATGGTGTGTGTGTGGTAGTTGGTTGTGATTTATTTGACAGCACGAATGTGGATTAAATTATCAAATTTCATGTTGGTTAGTGGGTTTTCATGGTGGGGAAAAGTAGGGAGCGGCTATGCCAAAGGCGCTCTCCGGGCAGAATTTAGAGATGAGATGTGTCAGTGGCATCCCCGGTGTGCAATATACTATACCAAAAATAAACAACTTTTTTCATATTTCGACAGGTTATTCATTTGGAAGTAACATACGGAAATTTCAGATCGTTAACTGAAATACTTTTGTGCTATAGTGTTCTAAAGTCTACCACTCGTTCAATCTTTTTCTCCTTTGCTGGCATACACAGCGCTTACGCGGTTATAGCCAAGTTAACAATAGCGCGTCAGCCGTCTCTTCTTTTTACTATATGACACCTAATTCGAGAACCAAGTGCAGCCAGGTCCTTCTCCAATTGATTTCTCAAATAAAGTGGAGGTCATTCTCTTCTTCAAAGTTGGAGTGTTGCTTCTATCCGGACAATATGACCTAGCTAGCGCAGCTGCTATCTCTAGATTTGCTGAACTATTTCAATGTTGACGTATATCTCGTACACCTTATCGTTCCATCGACTGCGGTATTCGCCGTGGCCAATGCGCAAAGGACCAAGCATCGTCGGCAAAACCTTTCTCTCGAACACTCCTAAGACCGACTCATCAGATAATGTCATTGTCAATGCCTCCGCATCACACAGCAGGACGGAAACAGGAGTGATGAGGGACTTATAGAGTTTGGTCTTTGTTCGTCGACAGAGGAGTTTACTTTTTAGTTTCCTACTCAGTCCAAAATAGCAGGAGTGATTCTGTGTTAGATATTAAGGCTAGGGTGTAATGCTTCTAGGTAAACTGTTACAGTCACTGGGTTATACCCAATTAATACTGGTCCTTGCCACGCACCCTGGAAATGTGAGTAACTCTTGTGTAAGATACGGTAACAAACCTGTGTGGAGTCTGAGGAAGAGGAAGTTTCAGCGGCTTCACCTTGACAGCCAAATTTTGTTCAGCGATAAGGATCTTTTTTGACTCAATGGGTAAGTAACAAGCAAAATTGCCGCATTTAGGATAAAGAGCAACCTGAAGAGATCAAGAGCTGCCATTTCATCTAGAAAAAACAACGGTTTGGTATGGTTTGTTAGCCGGTGAAATCATCGGTCCATATGAAAAGATGCCGGTGAAAACTTAACCGTCAATCGCTCCATGGCAACCGACTTTTTGATGCCTGAAATAGTAGCTCGTAATCTCGGCGACGTTTAGTTTCGACAAAACGGCCTCACTTCCGAAACATCACATGGATTTGTTGAGAGAACACTTCGGTGAGCAGATAATATTACGCTCTGTGTGGGGATATGTAAAATCAGAAGTCTAAGCGGACAATTTCGCTTCGATTCAAGCCTTGAAGCGAAAAATAGCGCATGTCATTCGAAAGTTTTGAGTCGAAATGCTTGAACGAAAAATTGGATTCAAAGGATGAACCATCTCAGGCGTGGCCACGGGCAACATTTGAAATAGAAAATCTTCAAAAAATAGATGCCAAGTAATGTTTTTTCGAATGATAAATGATGAATTTGAAGTTTATGTGCTTTTTCGTGAAAAAAGTAGAGAACCTCGAAATAGATCAACCTTTATATACACAAAGTATAATATACTATATATAAGTCTATAAGCCTAATATAATATATTGAAAGAATATTTGGGTGTCAATATTCTACTTACGTCGCTCATATCGCCGACATCCAAATTTTTACTATCCACCATACTGCCATTTGTGTCTGCCGGCCCTAGCGCACCCGGCGGGCCGGCACCCATCGGTGGCCACGGCGACGTAATGGTGCCGGGTCCGACTATACCGTCTGCAAAAAAGTAAATTATATGTTAGGAATTAGTTCATAAGTAAATTTTTCGGTGTTAAGAAGAAAACAAAGTAAGTCTAAATTATGAAGAATACTTTTTAAAAATAAATGAGAATTAAAAAAAATTACACATATGAAAATTTTTGCAAAGAAATTGATAGATTATGGTATCGTAACATTTTCATGACGATTTTTGTTGATAGTCTCAAGAAAAATATGTGACGACATATAGAAATTAAGGTGAAAAGCTGAAAAGGACAGTAAGGCCACTTTAAATTAAACTAAAAATTCTATAGCTGTGTCATTTCAAATCTTCGTAACTTTTTTACAAAGCCATATTTATATGGAAACAGCTGATATACATACATATATGTAAGTAAAGACATACTAGCTCAAATAAGCGATGGCCGTGCTATTGAGGGCTTACTGTAATAAAAAATAAGAATAATTCCACAAGTAGCCTGAGTTTGTCTCTAGGGACGTTGATTATATATTTAAACCTGCTGAGGTGATAAACTCCCTTGAGCAACTTGGCATGGCACATGCATCAGAGTGATTGTCAGTGTCCCTCTCTGCCTACTCCTTTTACCTTGGGGAGCAGCTGCCTTATGGCATGAAGTTTCACCACGATGAAGGTTTGAGAACGTACCATATTAGTGGATACTGCGGAACGGGCGAGCTCATCAGCCAGTTCATTCGTGACCATACCTTTGCGACCAGCACCCAGATGAGGTGCACTTGGTTGCGTTCCGATAGACTTTTAAACCGTTTTCTACACTCCTCCACCAATAGCGGTTTGATCACGTACTACTTATCGTCGCTATACGCTTTACATATAGACTTCTTCTAGTATAAAAGGCAATAAAAAGAGCTAGATCTTGATTTTGACCGTCAGTTTGTTTGGCAGCCATTTGCTATAATGAACTCTCCGAACTTTACAATATAGTCGGGCATTGTAGCCAATAATGCATGGCAAATTTCGTGAAGATATCTTGTCAAGCAAAAAAGCTTCCCATACAAGAAATGGACCTTGATCTGTCAGTTTGTATGTCAGCCATATGCTATAGTAGTAGTCCGATATCGGCGGTTCCGAAAATTAACGGCTTCATAGAGAGAAAAGTGTCCGCAAAGTGGCAGCTTGAAATCTCCAAAATTGAGAGACTAATTCGCATCCATACAGAAGAACAGACAGACGCCTCAGCTTGTTACGATAATTAGTTTACCAATAACTGCTTTGAAGGCCGATAATTAATAGTTTTTGTGTTTGTTTCAAATTTTTTCGACAACACCACTTTTTGCATTCCGTGTTGACTTTGACATTTCTATTGGCAGCTCTTACTATTTCACAAGTTAATACGGAAAATTGATTGTAGTGTGTGTGTGAGTGACAAACTCGTTAGTTTACAGCTAATCCACGACTGCAGTGCAGTGTTGCATTTTTTTGCAAAATTTTGTGTTTGAGAATTTTTTCTAAGTGTCAGCACTGGCGAAAAAAAGGCTCTACACAGCAATACAGTCAAACTGACAGCTCCAGCGTAGGCATAGAAGACAATTTCGCAACACTCACGGAGCATCGCAACAATAATAAAAAAAAGCTGCAGCGTGAAAAAGTGACTTTATATAAATGTATGCACGTCAGTCAACAGCAGTGGAGTTGCCGAGGGAGAAAAAATACTCGACACTTTTGTTGAAAAATGTGCACAATTTCGCATGCAGTTTATTGCCTTTTGTGATTTTGACATTTTCTGCATGCTTCCAGTGGGCGGATGCGCAGCGAGTGACCAACATACGAGCACACCCACCTACTCCTACACACACACAAGCAGACTCACCGCCAGCCAGCATTTGAAACGTGATTTAGCAGCGTGCATGGACTCACGCCTAACCCGGTCTATGCAACTCAGCCGGTAAGCCGCCAGTCAGTCCGACCGTCAGTCAGCCAGGCAATTCGTGTCCCGTTCAATTTCGCCGCTGTAAGCGTAGTCTGCCCGCAAAGCGAAAAGCCGAAAAAAGATGCTGTGCCGACAGTGTTGCATTAGCGTTTGTTTGCCATCAACGGCGTCGTCGCCAGCGCTGCGGCCATCGTCATCGTTGGTAATTGATGTGTGACATTGCAGTAGCCACAAAAATTTGCCAACTGTCTGCTGTCTGCTGATTTCAACTGCCAAATGTCCAGTTGACTATTGTCTGCGCCCCGCCGTCCGTTGTCCGTTCGTCGCGGTTATTAGCAAATTTTTTTGCATGGGTGTGTTCATTTTATTTTGTGAGTGTGTGTGGCGTCACTCAGCAGAGTTGATTTATTTGTCAAATGTGTGACGGCGTACCCACTCAACTACAGTAAAAAATCAAGTTGATCCCTTTTTTGCAGGCGGATGATGTAATAGTGTTGTTGGCAAAACTGTATTAGCGCTGACGGCTTTAAATCGAATTATTCAGCGAAGGTTTTTAGAGCCTTTTTTCGTAGAAACTTCATAAATCTTTTATATACAAACGATTCCATAGAAGCGCTTAATTTTGATCGGTCAATTTGTATGACAGCTATAGGCTGGAGTCGACCAAACTGAACAATTTGTCTGGAAATTGAACTATAGCATTATACAACATTTCAGGCAAATGTTTTGAAATTATTTTGCCAAAGAAACAAATTTTTCATACAAAGACTTGATTTTATTAAATATAGTTAAATAAAAGCTCGCACTAGATGGCGCTGTAATTTAAAACACTAAATATATATATTATATATAAATAAAAAAWATGAATTTCTTATTATGGAATATAAATTTAGACTCATTTAATGTGTTTAATAACACTGCCAGCCTTGATCGGTAAGAAAGCTCTTATAAAGACTGGATTGRCAAGTTCAAAATTTGTTTCAATTTAAAAAAATATTTTATTTTCAAAAATTAATTTTTAATTTTTAAACAAAAAGAAATACAATTTCTTAAATACAATTGAAAATTTTTTTAATTTTCAAAAAAAACAATTTTCAAAAATTAATTTTTGATTTTGAAATTTTTTTTTTAAATACCATCTGTTCCAATTTGACCCAAAGTGACAAGAATTCCCTCTGTTGGCAACACGACGATTTTTACATAAATTTTTTTTTTTACTATTTTGATGTTTTCGCCATTAACGGAAGGTATGGACAACTCAGTCCGTGTCGAATTTGATCAGATAAGTATTAAACTCATTTTTTTCAAATTAGTTATTATTTACATTAAAAAGTTCAAATAATAAAAAAAAAAACAATTCAAAATTTGCATATAAAAAGTATTTAACATCCTTGTGTAAATGGCACATCTTTGCTTCGCTGCGCTTTCTTTGCTAGCGCATTCCCCACTACAAAAATTATTTGGCTTTTAATTTAAAACAGAAAATAAAAAGAATTCTTTCATATTTCTGTACAACTCAAAAATGCCGTGAGCAAACGCTCGTCTTTCTTTTGCTTTGATATTCGCACCGAAATTTTCTTGTAATATTTTGCCTTTATCCGATGCTGCTTTTGATGCAACTTTCCAACATTTACTGTGAGAAGCAAACTCTTCGCTTCCCTTTAGAGCAATAACAGAAGAATGTAGTAGCTATGCACATACATACATAGATTTAYATAAAAATGCTTGGGGGTGCAAAGATTTTCATTTTTCAACCTTTGTTATCCACAAGCGAAATTTTCAAATAACTGTTTTTATGTGTGAGTGAGTGCGTTTTGACAAGCACCTGGTTTGGCTGTTTCTTTGCATTTAAGCAACCCTTTTGCCATTAGTTTAATTTTAAGTGAGAATATATGGAATAAATTCCACTCTTTCATATTTTGGGGTTATTTCAGACGTGTTGTTTGTGTCAAAGAACTGAGGAAATGTTGAATTTGCAAATATGCGCTTGAAAGTGTAGAAGTTTTGCTACAAATGTTGAAATAATTGTGACTATAAAAATGTAGGAAAATGTAGAAAGAATGGAAATGAGTAAAAAGCATTTTCTGTCTTATATGACTGTAAATCTTATGTATATATTCGGTCTTTTGAACCCAATCTTAAGACCACTCTGTTTTCGATTACAACACTCACCCAATATTGGAAAGTTTAGAATCAAGTAATTTCCAAAAAAATAAGGTGTAGTGAAATTGAGATTTCATCGACTTTTACAGCCTTTACACAGAGCCAAATTAATTTAGTACATTCGGATTTTATTTGAGAAATCAGTTTTTGACTTTTGCACAGCCGGCTACTCGATTAACAAAAGCCTGCCAGCTATTATACTTGCTTCTTTTTTTTATTTTGTGTTTTTTCTAATAATTATATATGCCTGAGCTGATTGATAATTAAATGAAGCAAATTATTAGCCTGGACAACAACCCCCCGTGTTAAACAAATATACAATGTAGACAACAAACTGCTAAGATCATTCTCGTCTCAACTAGATTTGAATTCGATAAAGAGTTAATGTAATAAAGAAAAGCTTTTATTTTGTATGCTAGATCGATCTAAATTAATCGAGCAAAGCTTCAAAACTCATTGAATAAAAACTGTTCCTTATAATATTAAATCTGGAATTTGACGGCAGAAATATTTATAGGAGGCACAAGTCCCAACATTATCGGACATAATTTTTCTTTTATGGCCTTATTTAAAGTTGAAAGTGTTTATTCAAGAATTATTTTCTCATATATAGATTCTTTGTAACCAGAAAGCAAGTAAGTTGGAAAGATCTTTAGATACAGAACACAGAGAAGGCTTCATCTAACTAAAATTATGGGCCAGTAATATGTAAATATGTTGCAATCATATTGAAGACCATTAGAAAAAAGGAATAATATTTCGGGTGACTGAGTTCTGCAACCATCTCATCTTTTGAAATCATATAGATCTGTATTATTTTCTATGATTTTTTCTAAATTTAGTTTTTGTATATTCGTCTAACATCGCCGCTCCTCGTAATCATCTGTATTCACTTGAGATTGTCGAGGCGGCTAGTAATGAATTTTAATATTTCAAAGTCTGCTT